TCAATCTTGTTGTGTCCTGAGCCTGCATCTTGCAGGCTAGGGACGTTGCAAGAGTCCCGGGCAATTGCAGAAGCTGCCCGGGACCAGACTGAGCGGCGCCGGCCTTGTGCGCATGCGCAAGGCGGGAAAAGTCCGCCTCATGATTGGTTGAACTTGCCCGGGGATTAGAGGGTATAAATAGAGGCCTGCGTGCCTCTGCTCTGGTTGTTCGTAGAATGGAGCAAACAATAAAGACTTGTTGGAGATGCTTCGTCTCAAGCGCCATTATTCCCAGGACTTAACACTGGCGACGAGGATGGGATTCAGTCTCTACGGCTAAGAAAAGCTAGAAGACTCACCCCCTCAAAGAAGTCCGGGAAAGAAACGGCGTGGAAGTCAGCGTTATCCTGCCAGTACGAAATCGCTGGAGGGTGCGTGCGACTGAAGAAGAAGAAACTTTACCATCGATCATGGCTAAAGTTGGGCGTTTAGAAGAATTCGACGTCTCTCACCCCGAGAGGTGGGAATCTTACGTGGCAAGAGTCGAGACGTATTTTCGCATCAACCAGGTTCGAGAGGATGGCTTAAAGGCTGCCACATTGTTGTGCGTTTGTGGACAAGACGCCTTTGAGATCGCCGAGAGTTTAATTTCCCCAGACTCGCTGGAAACGGTATCATACGCCGATCTCAAGAAAACCTTAAAGGAACACTTCCAGCCCAAGCAATCAGTCATGGCGTGGAGGCACAAATTTCAACAGAGAGATCAGCGAGTCGGAGAATCAGCAAAAGACTATGTTGCGGCCTTGAAAAGAGCAGCTAAACCGTGCGACTTCAAGGACTTAGAAGAAAGACTCCGCGATCGTTTTGTATGCGGGCTGAGAAACACAGAATTGCAGCAGAGACTGTTCGCCAGGGAAGATGTTTCCTTCCAAGATGCTCTGCGAGAGGTTTCGGCTGAAGAAGCTGCCGGCGGGGTGGTCAAGAACATGCGGCCCAAGAGAAACGCTCCTGAGACCGCCACTATTCACAAGGAAGACGTGCGTGAGGACTCGGACGAAGATCCTGAAGAAGAGGTGGATAAGCTTTACCAAGCTGCTGGAAGGAAGTCCAAGGATCGTCAGGACAAGGGCCCAGCTGAGCTCCGTTGCTGTGGATGCGGTGGTCGCCACAAGCGAGCAGAATGCCGGTTCCGTTCCGCCATTTGCCGAGCGTGCGGGAAGAAGGGCCACATCGCTGCGGTCTGCCTGGGTCGACAGAAGGTACAACCGAAGGAAGAATTGAATCTGAAAGGTACCAGGGTGCCCAGCCAAAACAGGGTGGGGTTCTGTGCAACATGCCGGAACATTTTAAGAATAGGCACACACAAACCCCTTAAAAAGAAATTAACACTTAAAGTGAAATTGCAGGGAATTCCATTATCAATGGAACTTGACACAGGGTCTGCCGTATCCATAATCTCCCTCAATACATTTCACAAAGTCTGCAGCAGCAGTGGCCAGAAAGTTTCCCTAAGGCCCTCTAATGTAATCCTTACAGATTTCCAAAATTCTAAAGTGTGCGTTAAGGGGGAGGCCACACTTAGTGTACAGTACAAGAATTTTGCAGGCCCCCTAAACGTGTTGGTTGTAGGGGGTGAACGAACGAGTCTCATTGGACTCGATTGGTTTGAGGCCTTGGGAATTCAGGTAACTGGACTGAATAAATTGCAAACACAGACCCTTGCTGATGTATGCAAGGAGTTTGCAGATGTGTTCAGCTCTAAACTTGGGTCCTACACGGGACCTCCTGTTTCACTTAAGTTGGATCCAATGGT